TAAAATATAATATAATGCAGTTATTAAATCATAATTTTGAAGAGTATTTAAGACATTTTCAAGATGTAATATTAAATGAAAAAGCAGGATGAAAAACTGCACTAAAAATAACTAGGTATGTTTAAACTCCAGATATACACCCAAGAAAAGACTGAAAAAATAATTTTTTATAATATGTACATTTTTTTTTTGCTAAAAGGAAAATTTATTTAATGTAAATGCATATGCTAATAAAAAAGAAAGATCTCAGATCAACAATCACCTTTGCACCTTAGGAAACTAGAAAATGAAGAGCAAACTAAGTCCAGACCTAGCAAAGGGAGTAAGTAATAAAAATTAGAACATAGATAAAAGAAACAGAAAATAGAAAAAAAAATACAGAAAATCAATGAAACAAAAAATTGGTACTTTGATGAGATCCACAAAATTGAGAAAGCTTTACCTAGATGGACTAAGAAAAAAGAGAGAAGACTCAAACATCTGAAATAAGAAATGAAAGAGGGGTCATTACAACCAAATTCACAGAAATCGAAAGGATTATAAGAGAATGTTGTGGGGCCAGCCTGTGGCTCACTCGGGAGAGTGTGGTGCTGATAACACCAAGGCCACGGGTTGGGATCCCGTATAGGGATGGCTGGTTCGCTCACTGGCTGAGCGTGGTGCTGACAACACCAAGCCAAGGGTTAAGATCCCCTTACCGGTCATCTTTTTTTTTAAAAAAAAAAAAAAGAGAATGCTGTGAGTAATTGTTGGTCAACAAATTAGATCATCTAGATGAAATGAGTGAATTTCTAGAAACACACCACCTACCAAGACTGAATTATGAAAAAAACAGTTTGAACAGAATTGTAGGTGGTAAGATGAGTGATTATTGTTTCTTGGTTTCCTGATACAGGACTCCCTTGAGGATTTATGGCTGAGCTGGTCGTGTGGTGATGAACTTCCACAGTTTTTGTTTGCCTGGAAAATACACTATTTCTCCTTCATTTCTGAAGGATAGCCTTGCTGGGTACAATATTCTTGGCTGGCAGTTTTTTTCTTTTAGTATTTTGAATATATCTTGTGGCCTGTAGAGTTTCTGTTGAGGAGTCTGCTGTTAGTCTGATAGGGGCTCCCTTATAGGTAAGATGCTTTTCTCTTGCTTCTTTTAAGATTCTCTCTTTCTCTTTGAGCTTTGCCAGTTTGACTATAATGTGTCTTGGAGAGGATCTTTTTGGGTTGGATCTGTTTGGGAATCTTTGACCCTCCTGGGTCTGAAGGTCTGTGTTGCTCCCTATACCTGGGAAGTTTTCTGTTATTATTTCGTTGAATAGGTTTTCTGTGCCTTTTCCTTTCTCCTCACCTTCTGGAACACCCATGATTTGAATGTTTGTGTGCTTAAGGTTGTCTGCTCTCTCTCTTAGATTTTCTTCATTTTTTAAAATTCTTTTTACCTTTTCTTGTCTGCCTAGGTTATTTTGAGAAGACTGTCTTCAAGATCAGAAATTCTTTCTTCTGTTTGGTCTAGCCTGCTGCTTAAGCTCTCAGTTGTGTTTTTTATTTCGTTGAGTGAATCTTGTAGTTACATGAGTTCTGCTACATTCTTTTTAAAGGTATTAATCTCTTTGTAAATTTCCTCCTTCATATCCTGGACTTTTTTTCTCATTTCATTACGTTGTCCAATTGAGTCTTCTTGTATCTCAGTGAGTTTCTTTAATATTGTTGCTCAGAATTCCTTTTAAGTCATTTCAAGGCTTTCCTGCTCTATAGGGTCTAGTATTTGTGAATCACTGTATTCTTTTGGTGGTGTCATATTTTCTTGGATTTTTGTATTTTCTTGGATTTTGCATCAGCTGTGGCTGTGGCTGTGGCAGTGGCTGTGATGGGCCATCTGCGCAGAAGTGGTGTTTTTGTTGTGCTCCTTGCCTGCTTCCAGGTGGGGGATGCTCTCCTTGGCTTCTGCCTACACCCCCCGGATGTGCTCTGCTGCTTGCCTGCTTCTGGGCAGAGGGGGTGGCTGCCTAACTTGATATTGTGTGGCAAGTTATTTTAATGGCATACATTTATCCACAGGACAACATTAATGAAGTATCACTATACAGGCACTTTGAAGGGGGTATATTTAAATCTACTTTGCTAATAGAGGTGTCAAGAATTCCTATTTGAACTGTGATACACATGTAATATATAGTCTAGTTATAAGAAAATTTAGTTTTAAAATAATATTGATATAAACATCTATCAATTTACTGAAGGATTAACCAAATATCACAAAATTTTGATAATTATCTAGTTATCAGTATTGGATAATTAGCAACTTATAAAAATGATAAAGTCACAATAATTCATAATTAGAAGGCAAGAATAACAGCAATGAAGACAAAGACCAACTTAAAATATCACTGGTATCTTTTTTAAAACTGCAGAAATTTCAGTCTACTTGCTGTATACACACAAAGGATACATTTCAGACAGCCACACTTCTTAGTAGTGACTGAATTAGAGGCCTCATAATCCAGAAACATACTAGTTTATGTAATTTACTTGGAATGATTACTAGTAAGAAGCCCTTAGTCATATGTAAAATGAATGTCTGGAATTGCACCTCATTTTTGTGTATGTGAAGGAAATAAAGTACTTCCTTGTTATTATTAAATCAGATTATAGAGGACTTCAGAGTATACTTTGGAAATAAGACTATGCTGTCTTTGTCTCCTAAAGAAGCCCCCTATAAGGATTTGGCTCCTATGGGGAAGAGTTCTTGAGCAAATCCTAACCAAGTTGTTAGTCTTAATTTCCTTTCTAAAGGGGCACACAGTTCCCACCAATATAAAGTTTTGATATAGTCTCTTTTTTTTGGCATCTCTCTTCCTCTTCATAGTCAAACTTTTCTCTTCAACCCACTCCCAGTTCTGAAAATGGATAGGTAATGTAGTAATATTGTAGCACTCACACCTATTGTATTTATTCCTCTCTCCCAGGGCTGAGAGTAATAAGTACTCTAAAATTATGCCATCCATCATTATGAATTCCTTACTTACACAAACATGTTTCAAAAATGATAATTAATAGATTTATTATCACCAATGCTCCTGCCAGTTTGAAGTGTGTGTCCTTAATTTTACGTAGAACTGTCAGGAATTTCTTCTTTAACACCATGAGTCTCCTCCTGTACTTTTAGCAACTTAACCTGTAGTTGTTCTAGTTTTCTCTGCTAATTTTTTTCTTCCCCCTGAATTCTTCTTACCTAAGGTCTTGTTATCTTACGTAAAACTGAATCTTTCAAGTATCTGGGTTGTACATCTTAACTCCTGGCCATTTATCTCATTTTTCCCCTTCTTGGCATCACTAATAATTTGTAATGGTCAAAGGCATGTAAAAACAGAAAAGTTCAAAAATCATTTGGAAAAACAAAGTTTTATTTTGTTAATCTGTTTTGATTTATTAACTTTTGGAGACTGTTTTGTTTCCTCACAGAAATTTTCGTAACACATATTCCTTTTCATGTTACAATGCAGGTTACATTTTTCCCCTTCTCTTTCAGTTTTCTTGAAGAGTTAATACTTGATAACTTCTACTTCTTTACCTTATAATTCACTCTCAATCCATTTCATTCTGTGTTCAACTACATATTTGAAGTTCACCAGTAGTGGAAACAGTTTAGAATTTAGAGTTAGAATTCAAAGGTTAAAGTGCTAGTTTTTGTCATTTACTCACTCTCCAGCTCTAGAAAAATTATCTATCTTTGCTACTCAGTGTGGCCTAAGGACCAATAGCATTGGGTGTCATTGGGGAGCTTGTTAGAAATGCAGAATTTCAAGTCCTACACCAGACCTACTGAATCAGAATCTGCAAGTTAACAAGATACCTACATTTAGAAGCACTGTTGTATAGTCATCTTTGAAACTCAATTTCCTGATCTGTAAAGTACAAAATACTTGCTGTGTATGTCAACCATCTTACCACCATCTGACATACCATATGTTTTATTGATTCATTTATTGTCTGCCTCTTCCTGCTAGAATATAATTTCTGTGAGGGAGAGATTGTTGTCTGTTTATTGCATATCTTCTATATCTAGAACTGTGCCTGGCACATAGTACACATTCATACTTTTAGAATGAACAAATAAATGAATGCACAACTTTTTAAATCCTGTCATTCCTACTGCAGTCATTTACTTTACACTGCCATTTAGAACTACTTTTATTTAGAATTACTGTATTAGACAGTGCAAATATGGAACATTTTGTTATTGCAGAAAGTTCTGTTTAATTGTGCTGCTTAGACTTTCACATTCCCTTCTCATCCATTTTGCACCCATATTTCTGCAGTACACTTCTCAGCAAAACTGTCAGCAACTCCTGTGTCATATAGAATTAAGTTTAAACTCCTCACTGTAACCTTTAGAGTCTTTTACAGTTTTGTATACTTAAAAAAAATACATGTATTAGACAGAGTGCATTTTTGGGGAGAGTCAGTCAAACCCAGTGCATGCATAGCATTCATTTAGGCCATACTGTATTGCCCTCATGGGACTTAGAGGCAAGAGGAACCCATGAAAATAAACATGAGTTTTTTGCTGTGCCATGGATAATAAAGTCTTTTGTCTTTGACTGAGGATCTTATGTTCTCTGCTAGCGTACATGACACAATAACAGGCAAACTATTGGCTTATAAGTAGGGTGAAATCAAACTGCAGGCCCAATAGCATTTTCCCATCCCATTTAAAATTCTTTAAAAATCCAAAATTTTAAGATCCATATAATAATCCATTAAATGGATATACTGTTATTTTTAAACCATTACTTTAGTGTGGTATATTTCAATTATTTTCACTTTAGTTTTCTTTGTAACTAATACCTTTGTGTACAAATATTTGTCTCCTTTGATGACTATTTCCTTTGGGTTTATTTCTAGAAGCTTAAAGGCCCAAGATTGGGAAACCTGCTTTATTATTTTCAGGGATTTTTTTTATTGAAAAAAATATATATAATATGAACAAATCTTTTTTTCCTTAGGAGGCATTTCTAAAGGAGGCACAGCTGAAATTATTCAATCTAACTTGAAATCAGGCATCACTACCACTCCTGGAGATTTAGACTTTGGGTCTCATTTATCCTTGTCCCTTGAGGACGTGACTCAGTTGGCTTTAAGTTCTCCTCAAGAGAATACTATTGGTCAACACACTGATACTCTCAACCAAAAGACATTAGCAGATACTCATCTAAGTGAAGAGACTCTGAAAGCCTCAGTTATTCCTGAACCAGCTGACCAGAAGACTGGAATACCAATAGTACCCTCTAATTTCTACTCACCTAGGGGGAAGCCCAATGTTTTCTACCAGTCAGTCTTGCCAGATAGTCATCTAACTGAAGAGACTCTGAAAGTTTCAGCTGTTCCTGGATCAGTTGACCAGAAGACTGGCATATCAACTGTAACTTCCAATGTCTACTCCCATAGAGAGAATTCCAGTATTTTCTACCAACAGGCCTTGCCAGACAGTCAGATACTTGAAGAGGCTCTGAAAGTTTCAGCTGTTCATGGGCCAGGAGACCAGAAGACTGGCATAAAAAGTGTAACCTCTACTTCCTTCTCACATAGAGAGAAACCCGGTTTTTTCTACCAACAGGTCTTGCCAGGCAGTCAGATACCTGAAGAAGCTCTGAAAGTTTCAGCTCTTCGTGGACCAGGAGACCAGAAGACTGGCATACCAAGTGTAACCTCTACTTCCTACCTGCATAGAGAGAAGCCCAGTATTTTCTACCAACAAGAGTTGCCAGAGAGTCATTTAACTGAAGAGCCTCTGAAAGTTTCAGCTGCTCTTAGATCAGCTGACCAGAAGACTGGGATAACTACAGTCTCCTCCAGTACCTACACACATGGAGAGAAGTCCCTTTTTTTCTATCAGCAGACTTTACCAGAAAGTCATCTGACTGATCAGGCTCTGAAAGTTTCACCTGTTCCTGGACCCTCAGACCAGAAGACTGAGACAGCAACAGTACCCTCTACTTTGTACTCATACACAGAGAAGCCTGGTTTTTTCCACCAGCAAGAGTTGCCAGACAGTCATCTAACTGAAGAGGCTCTGAAAGTTTCAATTGTTTCTGGACCAGCTGATCAGAAGACTGGGACACCAAGTATTACTTCTACTTCTTATTCACATGGAGAGAAGCCCGGTATTATCTACCAACAGGATGAACCAGACAGTCATCTACCTGAAGAGGCCCTGAAAGTTTCAGGTGTTCATGGAATAGCAGACCAGAAGTCTGGCATACCAATTGTAACCCCTACTTCACTTAGAGAGAAGCCCGGGATTTTCTACCAAAAGGCCTTCCCAGGTAGTCAAATACCTGAAGTGGCTCTGAAGGTTTTAGCTGTTTCGGTACCAGCTAACCAGAAGACTGGCATACCAACCTCTACTTCCTACTCACATAGAGAGAAGTCTAGTATTTTCGACCAACAGGCTTTGCCAGGTAGTCGTCTACCTGAAGAGGCTCTTAAAGTTTTAGCTGTTTCTGGGCCAGCAGACCAGAAAACTGGGATACCAACAGTACACACTAGTTGCTACTCACAGGGAGAGAAGCCTGGTGTTTTCTACCAACAAGAGTTGCCAGATAGTCATCTAACTGAAGAGCCTCTGAGAGTTTCAGCTACTCCTGGTCCAGCTGACCAGAAGACTGCGATACCAATAGTACCCTCTAATTCTCATTCACAGAGAGAGAAACATAGTATTTTGTACCAACAGGTGTTAATAGGTAGTCATCTACCTGAAGAGGGTCTGAAAGTGTCATTTGTTTCTGGACCAGCTGACCAGAAGACTGGGATACCAACAGTACTTTCAGGTTCCTACTCACATAGAGAGAAGCCCAGTATTTTCCATCAGCAAGAGGTACCAGATGGTCATCAATCTGAAAAGGCTCTGAAAGTTGTAACTATTCCTGGACCAGGTGACCAGAAGACTGAGTTATCATCAGAACCATCTAGTTCCTACTCACATAGAGAGAAGCCCATTATTTTCTCTCAGCAGACCTTATCAGACAGTAATTTACCTGAAGAAGCTCTGAAAGTTTCAGGTGTTTCTGGACCAGCTGACCAGAAGACTGGGATACCAACAGTACTTTCAGGTTCCTATACAGATAGAGAGAAGCCCAGTATTTTCCATCAGCAAGAGGTGCCAGATGGTCATCAACCTGAAGAAGCTCTGAAAGTTTCAGCTGTTTCTGGACCAGCAGACCAGAGGACTGGGACACCTACAGTATCTTCTACTTCCTACTCATTTGGAGAGAAACCTGGTATTTTCTACCAACAGGTCTTGTCAAGTAGTCATCTAACTGTAGAAGATCTGAAAGTTTCAGTTGCTCCTGGACCAGCTGACCAGAAGACTGGCATACCACCTGTAACATCTGCTTCTTACTCATGTAGAGAGAAGCCTGGTATTTTCTACCAACAGGCCTTGTCAAGTAGTCATCTAACTGTAGAAGCTCTGAAAGTTTCAGTTGCTCCTGGACCAGCTGACCAGAAGACTGGCATACCAACTGTAACCTCTGCTTCTTACTCACGTAGAGAGAAGCCTGATATTTTCTACCAACAGGCCTTGCCCAGTAATCATCTACCGGAAGAGGCTCTGAGAGTTTCAGTTGCTCCTGGACCAGATGACCAGAAGACTGGCATACCAACTGTAACCTCTACTTCCTACTCACACAGAAAGAAGCCTGTTATTTTCTATCACCAGGCCTTACCAGATAGTCATCTACCTAAAGAGGCTCTAAAAGTTTCAGCTGCTCCTGGACCAGCAGACCAGAAGGCTGGGGGGACACCAACTGTATCTTCTACTGCCTACTCACTTGGAGAGAAGCCTGTTTTCTACCAACAGGCCTTGTCAGACAGTCATCGAACTGAAGTGCCTCTGAAAGCTTCATTTGTTTCTGTACCAGCTGAACAGAAGACAACGATACCATCAGTATCTTCAAGCTCTTACTCACTTGGAGAGAACCCCATTATTTTCTACCAACAGACCCTGCCAGATAGTCCTCTAACTAAAGAGGCTCTGAAAGTTTTAGCTGCTTCTGGACCAGCAGACCAGAAGACTGGGACACCACTGATATCCTCTACTCCCTACTCACTTGGAGAGAAGTCTGTTATTTTCTACCAACAGGCCTTGTCAGACAGTCATCTACCTGAAGAAGCTCTTATAGTATCAGCTGCTTCTGGACCAGCTAACCAGAAGACTGGAATACCAACAGTACCCCCTAGTTTATTTTCACACGGAGAGAGGCCCATTATTTTCTACCGACAGGTCCTGCCAGACAGTCAGCTAACTGAAGAAGCTCTGGAAGTTTCACCTGTTTCTGGACCAGTTGACCAAAAGACTGGGATACCTACTGTAACTTCTCCTTCCTACTCAGATAGAGAGAACCCTATTGTTTCTTACCAACAGGTGTTGTCAGATGGTCATCTAACTGAAAAGGCTCTAAGAGTTTCAGTTGTTCCTGGCACAGCAGACCAGAAGACTGGGATAACAACAGTAACCTCTAGTACCTCCTTACATAGAGAGAAGTCCAGTATTTCTTACCAGCAAGACTTGTGTGAATTTAATCAAGAAACTTTAAAACTTTTAGGTGTTGCTGAAGCAGCTGACCAGACGAATGTTATACAAATGGTGCCCTCTACTTCCTACTCACATAGAAATAAGTCCATTATTTTTTACCAGCAAGAGTTGCCAGATCATTCTGAAGAAGCCTCGAAAGATTTAGGGGTTTCTGAATCTGCTGACGAGAAGACTGGAATACAAATAGTGTCCTCTACCTCCTACTCACATAGAGAAAAGCCCATTATATCTTACCAGCAAGAGTTACCAGATATTACTGAAGAAGCTTTGAATGTTTTAGGGGTTCCTGAACTAGCTGACCAGAAGACTGGGATACAAACAGTGCCATCTACCCCCTACTCACATAGAGAGAAGCCCATTATTTCATACCAGCAAGAGCTGCCAGATAATTCTGAAGAAGCTTTGAAAGTTTTAGGGGTTCTTGGACGAGCTGACCAGAACACTGGGATACGAATAGTGCCCATTACTTCCAACTCAGAGAGAGAGCAGTCCATCATTTACCAGCAGGAGTTGCCAGATCTTACTGAAGTAGCTTTGAAAGCAGTAGGGGTTCCTGGGCCAGCTGACCAGAAGACTGGGATACGAACTGTGCCCTCTACTCCCTATTCACATAGAGAGAAACCCATTATTTCATACCAGCAAGAGTTGCCAGACCTTACTGATGAAGCTTTGAAAGCAGTAGGGGTTCCTGGGCCAGCTGACCAGAACACTGGGATACGAACTGTGCCGTCTACTCCCTATTCACATAGAGAGAAGCCCATTATTTCATACCAGCAAGAGTTGCCAGACCTTACTGATGAAGCTTTGAAAGCAGTAGGGGTTCCTGGGCCAGCTGACCAGAAGACTGGGATACGAACTGTGCCCTCTACTCCCTATTCACATAGAGAGAAACCCATTATTTCATACCAGCAAGAGTTGCCAGACCTTACTGATGAAGTTTTGAAAGCAGTAGGGGTTCCTGGGCCAGCTGACCAGAACACTGGGATACCAATAGTGTCCTCTAGTTTCTATTCACGTGGAGAGAAGCCTAGTGTTTTTCATCAGCAGGAGTTGCCAGGTACTACTGAAGAAGCATTAGATGTTTTTGTTCTTCCTGGACCAGGTGACCAGAAGACTGGGATACCAGCAGTGCCTTTAAGTTACTATTTACGTAGAGAAAAGCCAAATGTTTTCTCTCAACAGGAGTTGCCAGACAGCCATCTCACTGAAGAAGCACTGAAAGTTTCAGCTGTTCCTGTACCAGCAGAGCAGAAGACTGGGATACCAACAGGACCTTCCAGTTCCTACTCACATAGAGAAAAGCCCAGTGATTTTTATCAACAGGCCATGCCAGATCGTCATCTAATAGAAGAGGCTCCGAAGGCTTTATCTGTTCCTGGACTAGCTGACCCAAATAGTAGGATACCTGTGCTACCATCTAGTTCCTACACACATAAAGAGAAACTCACGGTTTCAACTGTGGATATACCAGATGACCAGAAAACTGAGTTACCAACAGCTACCTTTAGTTCCTACTCAAATAGAGAGAAACCCAAGATTTCAACTGTGATTGGACCACATGACCAGAAGACTCCATTACTGACAGTTTTTCGTAGTTCCTATTCTCAAAGAGTAAAGCCTGGTGTTTTCTCTCAACAGCAGTTGCCAGATAGAGATGAAAATGAAGATATTCTAAAGATTTCAGCTGTCCATGAACCAACTGATGTGAATACTGGAATAGCAGTACCTTTCTCTAGTTCCTATTTACATAGAGAGAAATCTAATAATTTCTATCCACAGGAATTGCCAGACAGACATCTTACTGAAGATGTGCTGAATGTTTCAACAATTCCTGGACCAGCTGATCAGAAAATGATGTTACCAACAGTTCCTCCTAGTTCCTTTTCACACAGAGAGAAACCAAATATTTTCTATCAAAAGGATTTTCCAGATAGACATTTAACTGAAGATGCTCTGAAGGTCTCAAGTGGTCTTGGGCCAGGCGATCAAATTATTGGGTTACAAACAGTTCCGTCTGGTACTTACTCCCATGATGAGAAGCACAAACTTATTTCAGAACATGTCCAAAGGCTGATAGATAATTTGAATTCTTCTGACTCCAGTGTTAGCTTAGACAGTGTGCCTTTAAATTCTCAGACTGATGATAGAATTGTACTAAATAAGCCAGAATCTTCAGGTTTTGGAGATGTTGTCTCTGAGGAAATCCGGGATACAGACAATAGTTCTAAAACTCTTAAAGAAATTCGGACACTTTTAATGGAGGCAGAAAACATAGCACTGAAGCGATGTAATTTTCCTGCTCCCCTTGTCCCTTTCAGAGATGTTAGTGATATTTCATTCATACAATCGAAGAAGGTGGTTTGCTTCAAAGAACCCTCCACAAATGATGTATCTAACAGCAATTTGCTTCAGGGAGTGCCATTCACAGAGGAAAGCGCAAGCAACAGGAGCATACAGAAGGATATTGGCACACAGACGAACTTGAAATGCCAGAGAGGCTTTGCAAATTGGGAGTTTGTTAGTTCAACTACAGTTAAAAGTCCTCTACAGGAGGCAGAAAGCAAAGCCAATGTAGATGAAACCCTTAGGCAATATGCAGCAGCCAAATCTGTAATGAGGTCTGAACCTGAAGGGTGTAGTAGAACCATTGGGAAAAAAATTATTATTCCAATGATGACTGTCATAGAAAGTGACTCAAGTAGTGATGCAAGTGATGGAAATGGTTCCTGCTCATGGGACAGTAATTTACCAGACTCTTTGGAATCTGTTTCTGATGTTCTTCTAAATTTCTTTCCATATGCCTCACCCAAGACAAGCATAACAGATAGCAGAGAGGAAGAGGGTATTTCAGAGAATGAGGATAGTGGTGGCAGCAGTATAGATTCACTGGCTGCACATGTGAAGAATCTTCTGAAATGTGAATCCTCATTGAATCATGCTAAACAAATACTCAGAAATGCAGAGGAAGAGGAATGTCGGGTACGAGCACGAGGTAGGAACTGATAAGTTGTCATAAAGGCAGGTTCAGGCTTATAAACATAGTTTAGTAGTTTGTTTAAAGTTAGATGTTTGGAGTTCTAAATTTATGTTCCTATAGAACTGTTAGAATGATTATATTTTCTACCAGCAATCCAGAAAAAGCCCATTTAATAAATAATGTAGCTAAGTCGCAGTATTAATAGTGCTAGTCTGAGTTTAGGTTCTTAAGGGAAGTAGAATCTGATGTCTGACAGAGAGTAAGGAGGTAGTTTGGGCTTCTAAGCTCCTAAAAGTCTCTCATGTTTCCCTAATTCTTTCATTATAGTATCCTTATTTTGGTAGCAGAAAAAGCCTCCAATTTGCTCTGCTCTTAATTGTTCTGTGTCCTAAAACTACATATATTTTCTCTAACCCCTAATTATTTCTAATAAAATTATTGGAGCTGATCTCAGACATTAGGGGGAAAAAAACTTAACAAGGTATTTCACATTAAAACTTGGTTTAGAGGTTCAAAAGAGACTACGTACTAATCCTGTCAATCTCTAATAGTAGAATTGCATTAAAAAAGAAAACAAAAATCTTTTAAGACAACATGGGGAATATGTTTTGGGAGGGCAACTTATAAGAAATTCAGGCCAACCTGGGAATCTTCCCCTGAGGTTAACTTTATACATTGCTCCTTGCACATTCTGATTCTACAAAAATTTCCAAGTTTTATTTATTATTTTAAAATATCAGTTCTTATGGAAGTGGCAGTAATTGTAACAGTAGCTAAAAGAGGCAAAGGGGCTCTCTTAGATGGAAGATTGAGATAAGAATGACAATAGCATATTTAAAGTGGCCTCTTTGGAGAAATATTTGTAGAGTATACTTTTTAAAAATCAGACTTTTCAGTGAAATGATTTCTCTCAAGAAGTCCTAATAGGTTGTCATATAATTGAGAACACATGCTAAGAATTGTGGTAGACATTAAATTGTGTATATTGATGATCTTCTGTGCTCTTATAGTTATTGACAGGTGATCACTTTTGCATTGTATTATCTCAAGTGTTTCTATGCTTTCTTTTCAGCCTGGAATCTGAAGTTTAATTTAGCACATGAATGTGGATACTCCATTTCAGAATTAAATGAAGATGACAGGAGGAAAGTAGAAGAGATCAAGGCAAAGTTGTTTGGTCATGGGAGAACAACTGACTTGTCCAAGGTATAAAAGAAATCTAGAAATGAAGAGAAAAATGTGAAAGAAATCTAGAAATGAAGAGAAAAATATGAAAGAATTGGTGGTGGAATCTGGATCTCTTACTTGGGTATTGATGACTCCAGCTGAATTGCTAATAATCTTTGGCTAAAGTGATAGGAGTCTTAATTCTTCAAAGGTTAAGATTTAAGGATTAGATTCTGTAAGTTTTGATTAATTCTAAATTTACTGAGAAAAATTTATCATTTTAGAAAAATAAGAATCGATATGCTTGTTTTATCAATACATTGTGAGAGGGACTAAAGGTATCGCTATATTGTTCGAGGGACTAAATGTCACCTTTGTTTTCTCTTGAGGATGATATCTTGAAAGGCAGATGCAGTCCAGATATTTTCAGGTGTATATCCCTGCTTAAGAACACACAGCTATAATAGCTTAGGCATAAATGACTTGCTTTTTACTAGTACTTATTTTCCTTCTATGAAGAATTATTTCATGCATAGAAGTGAATATGTGGGGGCCAGCCTGGTGGCGCACTGCGCTAGTGCGCCGCTTGGGAAGTGCGGAGGCGCTCCCGCCGAGGGTTCGGATCCCACATACAGACCAGTTCCCGCTCACTGGCTGAGCGAGGCGCGGGGGCAACACCGAGGGTTGCAATCCTGTTGCCGGTCCCGGTCCGGTACGGGGGCGACACTGAGGGTTGCGATCCGTTGCCGGACACGGAAAAAATTTTTCTTGGCATGCCTTTCTCCAAGTTCCCTCTTTTTCCATGGTTTATTTGATATTTTTGACCTTGGTTATGGGGCAAGATGACATTATTTAGAAGAACGTAAAGTCATTTTCCAGCCAGCCTGAAGCTGCAGACTTGCAACGAGACACATACTATCCAGCAGGACCATGAGGTAAAGGATGGGAACAGAAACCAGAGTTTTGGAGAGACTTTGCCCCTGGCCCCTTGCACGGAGCCCCCACAGCTCACAACCTCCTCCCTCCTGCTTTTCATTTCCCATGTTCCATTCCCTCAGTCCCCTCTTTGAAAAACCCTCAGTAAATCTAAGTCTTTGACATGGCTTCAGTCTGGCCATTTTCCTTCAGGTTAACCAGAGAGATGGGTGAGCCTAACATCTCTCCTCAGATCAGCAGTGTTCCTGAATGAAAGGTGACTTCCATTTGCACCAACATTTGAATTTTGAGTGGTTTATTCTTGAAAGGTAGAAGGCAGCCGGACCTGTGCCTGGTAACAATACAATGTGGCAGAAATGGCATCTGCGACTCTTGAATCTCTATCTTAAGATTACTGGCAGCTCCCACCTCCTTCCTTTTGGAACACAGCCACCATCTGTAAGAAAGCTCAAGCAGCCATGAGGAGACTGTACAGAAGTGTACTAAGGCTCTGAACTGTCAGCCCTAGTTGAGCTCCCAATCAGTGAAACTGGGAAACAAATCCTGATCTCTCCTAGCTATGCCCCTGACCCTAGTCTGGGGGGAAGGAGAAGGAAGACAGCTAAAGAAAAAAACTGCTTGACCAAGCAGGACAGACAGGATTCCTAGGAGCAACAATAATAAGATAAGAATAGAGATGATTAAACAAATTTTCTCAGGTTAAGCCTTGATCTGGGGGTCAGGATGTTTGTTCCTTAAATGCCTATGGCTTAGGATAACAATATCAAGTTGTCTTCACAGATAACATACAACTACAAACCTGCTTTGAAGTGCATACACCCTGGACTCTAAGACACCATGGCAAGATGCCAAAAATAATTGTGCTGACCTCACTACCGACCAATCAGATTCACACACAACTCTCACAACTCCCATAACTCCCATCCATAATTTTACTCACAAATGCTATGATTCTAAGGTATCAAGGAGCCCGGGGTCTTAAAAGGCCCCTTGGCTACCACGGGCTCCTTTGAATGGCATTCAAGTAAATGTTAATCTTTAACACTGCAAAAAAAAAAAGTAATACAAATTTTTTCATGAACTTTTTGAACACTCCTTGTATTCATACAATGGAATACTATATATCCATGTAAAACTATACTTTTAGAGAAGTTGTAAAGGGAAATGACAATATATTTAAGTTAGTATCCAGAAGTATCCAAAAATATATGTACCAGGTGGTCAATATGGGTTCTTTAAGAATAAGACATACTAGACAAACTATATTTCATAATCACTTAGTTAACAAATTGAAGAAAGTCAAATATAAGATGGTAAACTGTGGGTTGAATGATAGCATGGTGAAGTACTCACCATATGTGTTACAGTAACCTTATTCAAAAAGTTTTAGACTTTTTCTCCATAAACATTTTTATCAATAACTTGGATAAAAATATATACCAAATGTACAAATGGTATGAAGTTAGAAGGGAAATTTAATATCATAGATGATCAAATTTAGATTCAAAATCATTTCAACAGGATGAACATTGATATGGAACCAATAAAAAGAAATACAGCAGAGGTAAAAAGTATTATACCAACAAAAGAAATGGAAATGGAAATCTTGGCTGAAGTTCATGTTTTTTTAAGAATGCCAAACTATTATGTGACCTTTAGAAATCTCGGAATGCACTGGCAAAAGGAGAATTACCAAATATACTTCATGCTGGTCAGATCACAAATGAAATTCTGTGTTTAATCTAATTCAGGATAATATGTTTTAGGAAAAAACAGACAAACTAGAGTCTATCCAAAGGAAGGCAATTTGATTGCTGAGGGATCTGGAAATATCAACACATTAAAATTTATAAAATTAGGGAAATGCACATCACTGGGGTTAAAAATGTACTTTTAATAAATGGTGCTAGGATGACTAATTATCCATTTTGTTTTTCACAAGCATATATGTAAAACCTAAAATCCAATCTAATTTATACTTTTAAAAAATTTTTCCAGAACTGAGATAAGTCAAATAATTAAGCTATATCACTGAAGAATAGTTTTCTAAAAAGCTCTATGAATCAGGCCATAAAGATCATGCACATCACAGCTATACCAATTCTTATAGGATTAATAATAATAACAGCTGCCAGTTATTGAGCACCAACTGGATATCATACATTCTACTAAGCATTTTACAGGCATTACCTCATGTAATCCATACCAAAACCCTATAAGATAGGTATTATTATACCCTATTACTGTTTGCAATAGCAGACCAAATGCCTTATCCACAGGAGAATGGATAAATTGCAAATATTCCCGGGACCTAAGAAACAATCTGCCTCTTCCCAGAGTCAAGTTCCCAGAAACTCCTCATAAATGAGGAGTTTTTTAAAAACTCGTGGATGAAAGAAAAATGAGCAAGTGAGGCCCCCGGCTGCTCGGTCCTGAAAGAAGGTCGATGAAGGGTGATCAACAAGTTTGACAAGGATGGAAAGCCTTTAAACTGGAGGAGGGGCGATCCCCAGCCCCGTCACCCCAAGGGGATACAAAGCCAGTGCCTCCATGCCCTTCCAGGTGGCCAGTACTCCAGGCTCATTGGTCTATACCTATAGAATACTGTAGGTATAGAATACTGTAGAATAATAAGGAATAAACTAAAACTATGTACATCTACATAAGAGAATCTCAAAAACCTAGACTGTGAAAAACCCATTTCTCAAAAGAATATGTATCATGCAGATTCCATCTACATAGAGTTGAAAACCATACTGGAGGGCCAGCCCGGTGGCGCACTGGAGAGTGCACCGCTTGGGAGCGTGGCGGCGCTCCCGCCGAGGGTTCGGATCCCATGTGGAGACCAGTTCCCGCTCACTGGCTGAGCGCGGTGCGGGTGCAACACCGAGGGTTGCGATCCCGTTGCCGGTCAGTAATTTTTTTTTTTTTTTAAATTAATTAATTAATTAATTAATTAATTAATTTTCCTTTTTGTGTTTTTTACTGACCGGCAACGGGATCGCAACCCTCGGTGTTGCACCCGCACCGCGCTCAGCCAGTGAGCGGGAACTGGTCTCCACATGGGATCCGAACCCTCGGCGGGAGCGCCGCCACGCTCCCAAGCGGTGCACTCTCCAGTGCGCCACCGGGCTGGCCCTCCAGTATGGTTTTCAACTCTATGTAGATGGAATCTGCATGATACATATTCTTTTGAGAAATGGGTTTTTCACAGTCTAGGTTTTTGAGATTCTCTTATGTAGATGTACATAGTTTTAGTTTATTCCTTATTATTCTACAGTATTCTATACCTACAGTATTCTATAGGTATAGACCAATGAGCCTGGAGTACTGGCCACCTGGAAGGGCATGGAGGCACTGGCTTTGTATCCCCTTGGGGTGACGGGGCTGGGGATCGCCCCTCCTCCAGTTTAAAGGCTTTCCATCCTTGTCAAACTTGTTGATCACCCTTCATCGACCTTCTTTCAGGACCGAGCAGCCGGGGGCCTCACTTGCTCATTTTTCTTTCATCCACGAGTTTTTAAAAAACTCCTCATTTATGAGGAGTTTCTGGGAACTTGACTCTGGGAAGAGGCAGATTGTTTCTTAGGTCCCGGGAATATTTGCAATTTATCCATTCTCCTGTGGATAAGGCATTTGGTCTGCTATTGCAAACAGTAATAGGGTATAATAATACCTATCTTATAGGGTTTTGGTATGGATTACATGAGGTAATGCCTGTAAAATGCTTAGTAGAATGTATGATATCCAGTTGGTGCTCAATAACTGGCAGCTGTTATTATTATTAATCCTATAAGAATTGGTATAGCTGTGATGTGCATGATCTTTATGGCCTGATTCATAGAGCTTTTTAGAAAACTATTCTTCAGTGATATAGCTTAATTATTTGACTTATCTCAGTTCTGGAAAAATTTTTTAAAAGTATAAATTAGATTGGATTTTAGGTTTTACATATATGCTTGTGAAAAACAAAATGGATAATTAGTCATCCTAGCACCATTTATTAAAAGTACATTTTTAACCCCAGTGATGTGCATTTCCCTAATTTTATAAATTTTAATGTGTTGATATTTCCAGATCCCTCAGCAATCAAATTGCCTTCC